AATTTCCCTTAATAAAATGCATTTTATGCACACAACATATGCATTTTAATGCACAGTTTGCTCTGGTGTATACATTTTTGCAGCGCTTTTTTCTAAAAAAAATGTTTAGGGGTGCTCTCATTTTCCTAGTCATATTGAAATACTGCCCCTTAATGAGGCCAAACTTAGATTCACAAAATGTTTAAGGGTATGCGTACCCCTGCGTCCCCCCCAGAAAAAACCCCAATGCATTTTTGTACACATAACTTAGAGAACCGCATTGCAAAATTCAGAGAAATGTGGATTTCAATGGATGACTCTCATATTGTTTTGGAAAGTGTAAATTAGCTAACTTCACTTTAAAAAGTGATCTGAATCAAATTTCTCCCCCATCGCTAGCTCTTCCCTATTTAAATTATAAGTTAAATCATTTAAATGACAAGTTTTTTTAATTGCCCCCTAAACCCACTTGAAGTGTTTGGAGGTCCTGGATGCCTGGCAGTTTTCAAAACTTCTGGAAATAGGTCAGCTTGAATTAGGATAACAACACTTTTTTTTTTTTTTTTTTGCTGTTCTCTGGCTCCTTTAATCCAGGGAATACAGGCAATTAAGCTCTTTATATCCCTACGAGGCTGGCAGGGAAGTACTATCAAAATCCGAATTACAGAGAAAAGTCTGTGGGCTAGGGAAAATGAGAGAGCTGTCTGAGATTTCATATGGTGACTTAAACGAGCAATAGAATTTTGGAATATTTAAACTGACTACTGAAGGTAGTCTTGTAGTTACTAAACACAATGGCCTCAGGAGAAGGGAAAAACATACAGAAAGAAATACATTTCAAGGCCTGCCAATTTGTGTTCAGCCAAGATATGCAATTTTAATGTTGGCGTGCATCATTACTGCATGAAGAGTTGTTACCGTCATTATCTTTATGAATAGAGAGAAAGAAGAGTCTCTCTCTCTCTCTTCCCTCCCTCTCTCTCTCTCTCTCTCTCTCTCTCTCACACACACACACACACACTACTAGAACTTGAGGCCACCTAAAAAAACATAGACCAGCAGTAGGTTCAGGACAGACCAAATATGTGAACTTCATCATACCGACACACTATTAACGTTGGAAACTTACTGAGTATGGCATGGCTCCAGTGGCTGGCTCCTCCTCCTCCTGCTGCTGCTGTGGAGAGAAAGGAAGGTGGAAGCAGCCTCCTGTTGGTGGCATCACCAGGAGAAGATGGAACAGGAAGTGCTAGCCATTGAAGCCACGCAGCCACTGTTCAGCTCTGCCCCTGGCTCCTCCTGACATCACACGTGTGATGTCCCATCCCCCAATCACCTTCACAAGCTGGTGCCTCTGATTACACGCCCTACCTCTCAGTACACAGCAGTGGTGCAGGCTACAGGAGGTGAGATGAGCAGCCCTGCCCCACAGACCACTACTGATGGGCATCTGAAGAAAGCTGGGCTTCTCTGTGCTGTATTAAAGCCCAAATAACTGTGTAGTGTCCACAAGTGCAATATGGCTTCTCCCTTCTTCTCTCTCCTCTTGATCTAGGACGGTATTCTTCAACCTTCGAAACCCAGGCTTTTTTGGACTACAACTCTCATCATCCACAGCCAATTTAGACAAGGATCAAGGATGATGAAAGTCAAAGGTGCCAACTTGAATAAAATATTGGGGGAAGGGCGGGTAAGCCCCACCCCACATAACTGATCCGTGACACGGTGCACGCACACCATTTGAACAGCAATGCCCATCAACTTGGGTGGCCTCAAATATTTTATTGTGGAGCTGAAGACCCTTCGGCCCCTAGGAGCTGGCTCCTATGATTAAAGCAACACCTGGAGACCTTAGGCTGAAGAACACTGGTCTAGGAAACTTTGCTGCAGGCTGGTGTCTTAGGGTATATAATAGCAGAATTCTGATCCTACTGCAGATGTAGTACTTAGCAGGGAGCTGCACATTAATTGCCCAGTTAAAAAATCTGTTGCATTGCCAACATTCAGGATGGCAAGATAATACATCACTAAAAAAGAGGGAATACGTTGCTGGGGGATGGGGAGGGGACAAAAGGGGACACCAACTTCCATTTGCATGTGTTGAATTATAGGCACAGACATTTTTTTAAAAAAAAACAATAATTCAAATTGAAATATATCTCACCATGGTGGGAAAGACCAGCTAACCTGGGTGCCTGCTCTACCTGCTGTCAAGGAGCAAACTGTTCCTGGGTAATTGCCAGGCCTCCCCTGCTCTCCCTTCTTATGGTTCTTTATATTTAAACTGGCCTTTAAACACACACATGGCTACCCAACTGACACTTGTGTGGAGCCTGAATAGTCAAGGTTCAACAGACAACACATGTATCATGAGCAACTTCAAGTCATTTCATGTGAAAACCCAGCTGGCATGTGGAGGGCTGTAGCTAATGATTGTTGCAATCAGGGGTGCCAACTTGAATAAAATATTGTGGGGGCCCAGGTAAGCCCCAACCCACATACATAATTGATCACAAGACACAATGGTACACACACCATTCAAATGGGAATGTCCATTAACTTTGGCGGGGCCCGGCCCCCTCAAATTATTTATTGTGGGTGCCAAAGCCTTTTCGGCCCCTAGGAGTTGTCTCCTATGGTTGCAGTCTATCAAGGAGGCAACTGCACTTTAAGAGTCGCAAATAGAGATATCAATTAATTCCGGTGTTGACATGACCGCAGCGATTGTCCACAGAGCCCTTTTAATAGCGACAGTCCAAGCAAGGGCATCCATCATTTTGATTTTTATCATTCAACAGGGGAACAGAAACATACATTTGAGGGTAGTTGTGATACCAAAATATATGCAGCCATTATTGCTGGAGGTGAAATGACATTTCTCAATGGCTGAACATGGCTTAGGTTGTGAAAGCACTAGCGTGTAGTACAATTAGGGCTTTTCCTTGGCAGACTCTTGCCATGATCAATGTGCTCAGGGAAGGCATGGAAATAAATCAGGAGTGTGGAAGTGATCCCCAGGGTGAGGTTTCTGGGGACTAGGAGAATTGAAGGACTGCTATTTGGGCAACAGTAAGAAACAGAGTCCTTCCGACATCATACCATTTTAATCTTGAAAACCAGCACCATAACTCATTCCATAAATCCGTTATTAACTATCATCAGGACAAATAAATTACACTCTCTCAGGCCATTGTTCACAGATTGGCAGCATTGTGGCTGGCAATATACCTGGTGAGTGGGTGAGCTGAACATGACAGGGATTCAGAGATAAGTTGAACAAATTCAGAAAACATCCCCTTGTAATGAATGTGTATTCAACTGTTATTTTCTAACCCTATTTTCCATTACACTCCAGGCAGGGCTACTACTTGAATTCACATTGAAAGAAGAAGGTCAGAGTTTGCAAGCCACCTTGAATGTGTTTGGGCTTAAAAAGAAGAAGACGAAAATCCATCTGTATTCTTAGAAAACATTCATTCCTAGCTATTTGTTCACATTATTATCATGGCATTTGTTGTTGCTGTTACCATTGAAAGTTCATAAGAGAGCCCATGTAGCGTATTTCTTCTCCTTAACTCTGTGATGCTTCAGTTTGAATTATGACATTTTATCTTTTGAATATAATAAGAATGTGAAACAATTTCCCCCTTTCTTTTTTGCCCCTTCTCGGTAAACAGAACTAACGCAGGTGAGCACTTATATGTAGAAATACAAATATGCATAATTAGATCAGAGTTGAATGCCATTTCCCAAGGAGATTCATTGAAACTTCTCAGTCAGCTGGGGGGGGGGGAGAAAGTAACCTTGAGAACGAAGCAACACTTTCTTTTTCTAACTGCTCCTTTTCTGTTTGAGAATTTCAGTCAAGGAAAATGTCTGATGCATTGACCTCCCAAATTAAATCACCCATAATTTTAGAGTGCAAGTCTGGGTCCAATTTTGATGCTGATTAAAATTATTTTGATATTGTTGAAGTAAATAATTGGATTGGACTTCCATTGCTCCTCTTTTAGCCAACTGCATTCTTCATCCAACAGGAAAGCAGAAAGGGCTGTACTGCAGCTTGAGTTAGAGCCTTTGCTTTTCATGCAAAAGATCCCAGGTTCCTTTCCCAGCCTCTCCAGGTTGGGTGAGGAGTGACCCCTGTCAGAAACCTTAGAAAGCTGCTGTCTGCCAGTGTTGACAATACTGAGCTAGATGCAGCAATGGTCTGTCTTGGTATATGGCAACTTCTATGTTCCACTATTAACTGACAATAGAATTCCATTCAAAGTGAGTTGAAATTAATTATAATTTTTTGAAAGGAAAATTTGTTGGAGAATAATACAGGGAAATCCCTGTTTCAAATATTGCTACTCACAAATAGTGTGGAGAATTGTAGGTGGCTTTATAATTCAAAACATAGTCAGGGGCCCTAGTCATTTGCTGTGCCCCATCCCTGAATTTTCAGCAAGCATGTTTTGAAAGAAAATGAAGTGGTTTAGAAAAACAAATAAAATGGGAAGATGTATCCTATTCAGTTGCTCAGTAAGAAGTAAACATGCTCCCACTTCCCATTGTTTTGGCCGATGAATGCAAAGATACTGGAATAACTGACAAGTCATAGGTCCTTTTAAGTTATAAAATTAACAACTAACTAATATCATTAGTTAGAGAGGCGGCTGGTGCTGTGGGTTAAACCACAGAGCCCAGGGCTTGCTGATCAGAAGGTCGGCGGTTCAAATCCCCATGATGGGGTGAGCTCCCGTTGCTCAGTCCCAGCTCCTGCCCACCTAGCAGTTCAAAGCACGCCACTTCAAGTAGATAAATAGGTACCGCTCTGGTGGGAAGGAAAACAGCGTTTCTGTGCACTGCTCTGGTTTGCCAGAAGCAGCTTAGTCATGCTGGGCACATGACCCAGAGGCTGTACACCAGCTCCCTTGGCCAATAAAGCGAGATGAGTGCCGCAACCCCAGAGTCATCTGCGACTGGACCTAATGGTAAGGGGTCCGTTTAATATCATTTATTAACTTTGGGGAATGGCTGTAGATCAGCAGTAGAGCATCTGCTTTGCATGCAGAAGGTCCCAGTTTCCATGACTGGTATCTCCAGGTAGGGCTGGGAGAGGCCCCTGCCTGAAATCCTGGAGAGATACAGCCAGTCAGTGAAAACAATACTGATCTACAGGAACTCAATATAAGGCAGCGTCCTATGTTCCTAACATTAAACATGCTACAATGAACTCTAATGCACATATCTGGAGTGAATCCCATTGATTCCATCCTAGGTGACCCTCTTCTATCCAGCTGTTTTTCAGTGATGGTACCCTAAGACCCACACATTAAAACATTTCTGAGCATGGGTCTCTTTTGAACCCTTATTCAAGGACCCCTGTCTGAATGTGGTCTGCCCACTGTGCTTTGCCTTATCTGTCTTACCTGTCACAGACAGGAGGAATCAGTTATCTCAACTATAAGGAAATGTTTTCTCATTGAGTATTATATGCCATTTATCTAACAGGTGTGTGTGTGCACACACATACACATGGGGGTGTCTACTAGATGTCCCTGAATTCTCTAGAATTGCCTTCACATACATTGTTGATGTTTTTATTGTGGACAATTAGCTGTGGGTAGCAGGACAGTCCCAAAAGCCACTGCGGACTTCTAGAGCAAAACATAATATATATGTTGAGGCAAATGCTACATCAAATATGCTCCCATTTCCATGCTGAAAATGGGGTAGTTTTTCCCCAGGGGGTTGTTAGAAATATTTGCACACAATTAAATTTGAAAATCCTGTTTGTTGTCTTTGTATCCTTAATGTACACACTTTGATGTGGTTTCTTTGTCCCCACTATTTTGGGTTCTTCTTCTTGGATTATCCATGAGTCATCCCAGACAACCAGTAATCTGAACAGGATTATGCCACAAATCTATCAAGCCAATTTTCCACTATGATCTGTGGACTAATGCAATAAATAATATTCTACTCGGTTCTATGTAGCCAATCAGATTTGTCTATCTATAAGATGATTTCACTGATGACAAAGGTGTTCGATAGAGATGGCAAGACAGGGCAATGTAAATGTGCAGCCAAACATTTTCATGGGCATTGCTGAAAGATTTAGTTTTTTTGCACTGCAGGAAATGTTCTCAAAATTACAGTGAACAGTTTCATTGATCCCTCTTCCCAGCTCATTTGAAACTGTCCCCTCTTCACCGTGAGCCCGAATGCTTTGAACAATGTAATTGTTAATGTTTGTGGCACAGTTGGAATGTACTTTCTAAATAAATAAATAAATTATGGGCCTTTTTCTCATGAGCCAGCAAGCCTTCTCACAGTTGAGAGCACTGAGGATGGAGGGAAGGCAGGAAAGAAAACAGACTTGACAGTAAGAAAGGAGAAACTGAGAGTTGAGGCGAATAGTATTGGTATAGACTACAGTACTTTAAAAACTGGATAATGACCCTCATGCGTTGGCTAGAGATAGAAGTTTTTAAAAATCTAGATGCTGGGCTAATCCAAATGGTCCCCCCCCCCCCCGCAATTCCCATTATCGTCCTTGATCTCAATTTGACTTGAGTTCTGCCCCCTCCCCATCTGCTTACATTAAAATACACTTAAATACACACATATTATATGGATTTAATGTGTGCATAAGGCAATGTAAACAGAAAAGGGGGGACTGGTAATATGGTCAAATCAAATTCTCTGTGAAATACCATATTTTTTGCACCATAACACTCACTTTTTTCCTCCTAGAAAGTAAGGGGAAATGTCTGTGCGTGTTATGGAGGAAATGCCTACGGGTGGCATGCCTACGGATTTTCTTCCCCTAAAAACTACGTGCGTGTTATGGTCGGGTGCGTGTTATAGAGTGAAAAATACGGTACATTGTCCTAGCCAAAGCTGTTCAGCATCCCTTTGCATAAGTACAAATAACTGGCTGCAATAGCAGCTAATGGCTAAAGGGGAAGCAGAAGTCCATCGAACCTCTGTTTGATTTCTTGCAAACACAATGGAGGTAAGGCCAGCTTGTTGCAAGCCAGCCCTTGACTTCTTTTCTACCTCCACCCCAAATCCTCTGCCCCATTTCTGCAAGGGAAAGAAATTAGAAAGGGGAATAAGGGAGCATGTGTTAAATGCTTCCAAAAGAAGGTTGAAAATGTTGCTAGCATCATTTTCCAGAGGACCACATGATTTGTAGATTTCACCCATCTCTACAAAATCATGCTGGCATGTGTGAAAAGGGCAGGGCTTGCAGTCAGAAGGTGTGGCTTCTGTGTAGACTCCAGTTCCAGCATTTCTCATTTTGGAAATGAAGTACTGAAAATCCCCTAGAGCAAGAATGATGGATGGAGCTATTAGTTAAGTTTCCAAACAGCAAGTCTGAGTGGGCTTGAAAGGCCTTTGTGCGTATTCTCTTTTCCCACTGAATATAAGTTTTAATTCATTCAGTTAATCAGGGTATGTTTGTTAAGCATTCTGAAGTTGTAAATCACTACGTTAATGTTAAATGTTGTAAACTGCTGTCATGCCACAAACAGAACTTTCTTGATGAATAATGGTTTAGAGCGTATAACATCTCTCCCTCCCCCCATTTCCTTGTCTTCTTCAACACTCAGTGATTTATTTTATTGGGGTAGGCACTTCTGATTTCTTTGAAATATATACAAGCCTAGATACGATGGAATTCTTGATTTTCTGCTTTTACCTCAAGACATCCTATAAAAAATCAGTTTGCAAATCATCTAAGATGTGAGGAAAAAACATCAGATCACACAGGGAATATGTCAGCCAGTCAGATTTGTTTGCTATAAACCATTGGTCATCACTAAAGTGCAGAGGGACAGATTGAGATATACATTTTAACACAGAGTATCCCCAGCACACTGAACCCCATTTTGGGCAATACATTTTTGCCTGCTCAAGGAAAACATCGGAACCTTGTATGTAACATACCGTATTTTTCGCTCTATAACACGCACCCGACCATAACATGCACGTAGTTTTTAGAGGAGGAAAATCCGTAGGCATGCCACCTGTAGGCATTCCCTCCATAACACGCACAGACATTTCCCCTTACTTTCTAGGAGGAAAAAAGTGAGTGTTATGGTGCAAAAAATACGGTAGATATTCCTATCAGCCAGTAATGAACAGGTGGCATGAAAAATGCTGCTTTCACTGCTCTGAATGCTTATTTGCTCCCAGTATTCTGAGATATGTATTTCAGAGGGCCTGTCCATCTGAATAATAATAATAATAATAATAATAATAATAATAATAATTTTTATTTATACCCTGCCCTCCCCAGCCAAGGCCAGGCTCAGGGCAGCTAACAGGCAATAATAAAAATAAGTTGAATGAATACAACTTAAAAACAAAATTAAAACACAACATTAAAATATTGAAACATTAAAATATTAAAATGTAGCATCATCGCAGGAGGAGAAAGGAAAAGAAAAAAGAAAGACGGGGAGGGAATCAAATTGGCTCCAAGCCAAAGGCCAGGCGGAACAACTCTGTCTTACAGGCCCTGTGGAAAGAAATCAGATCCTGCAGGGTCCTGGTCTCATGAGGCAGAGCGTTCCACCAGGCCGGAGCCAGTGTTGAAAAGGCCCTGGCTCTGGTTGAAGCTAATCTAACTTTCTTAGGGCCCGGGACCACTAGGGTGTTGCTATTTATGGACCTTGAGATTCTCCATGGGGCATACCGGGAGAGGCAGTCCCATAGATACGAGGGTCCTAGGCTGTGAAGGGCTTTAAAGGTCAAAAGCAGCACCTTAAATCTGACCCTGTACTCCACCGGGAGCCAGTGCAGCTGGAAAAGCACTGGGTGAATATGCTCCCATGGCAGAGACCCCGTGAGGAGCCTTGCTGCAGCATTCTGCACCCGCTGGAGTTTCTGGGACAGCTTCAAGGGCAGCCGCTTGTAGAGCGAATTACAGTAGTCAAGCCTGGAGGTGAGTGTTGCATGGATGACTGTGGCCAGGTCGGGGCAGGAAAGGTAAGGGACCAACTGCTTGATGCGGCGAAGGTGGAAAAATGTCACCTTGGCTGTTGCTGTAACCTGCGCCTCCATGGAAAGGGAGGCGTCAAGGATTACACCCAAACTCTTAACGGAATAACACCCCATCCAACATAAGCTCTTTGAAGGTCTGCCCCATTCTGTCCTTCTGACCTCATTTCCCAGCTTCCTCCAACTTCACTACTATAGCAGCTCAAAAGCATTGTGATCCCTTAAATCAGGGGTCAGCAAACTTTTTCAGCAGGGGGCAGGCCACTGTCCCTCAGACCTCGTGGGAGGCCGGACTATATTTTGAAGGGGGGGAAATGAATTCCTGTGCCCCACAAATAACCCAGAGATGCAGTTTAAATAAAAGGACACATTCTACTCATGTAAAAACACACTGATTCCCAGACCGCCTGCGGGCCGGATTGAGAAGGCGATTGGGCCGGATCCAGCCCCTGGGCCTTAGGTTGCCTACCCATGCCTTAAATGGATCCACCGTTTCTCCCTTTCTGCTCTTTAATGCACGGTGGTGTCTCTCAAAACACCTATGTCATAAGACCACTTTGCTTTGCTTTGCTTTGCTTTGTTACTGTGCTTCTCCATAATTGCTGTCTTGTTTATACAGTGGTACCTCTAGTTACGAACTTAATTCATTCCGGAGATCCGTTCTTAACCTGAAACTGTTCTTAACTAGAGGCGTGCTTTCACTGATGGGGCCTCTTGCTGCTGCTGCGCCACCGGCACACGATTTCTGTTCTCATCCTGGGGCAAAGCTCTCAACTCAAGGTAACTCTTCCAGGTTAGCAAAGTTTGTAACCTGAAGCGTTTGTAACCTGAGGTGTTTGTAACTTGAGGTACCACTGTATTTCATTGATTTTTCCCTTTGTCACTGTTCTCTTTGTTTTTTTCCCCCTCATTCATTTCATTTCCACGTTGATTTACAAGAGAGACTCACCCTGTATTTCTACGGTGAAGAAGTGCGAAGCGTTTGGGGCATGGTGAAATTATAAAGCCTGGTCCCTACTCTTTCCTGGTTGGACTGCCAGCCCCCATGTGGCTACCCCTGTTCTTCCCCTGAGTCCTGGGGGAGCTACCT